TATCTTCAATTTTCCAACGGAAATATAAGATTTTCTTGTTTTGTGATATTTAACAAAAACTGGTTGATTTTTACAGCATTAACAAACAGAAAATAGCTTTTGGCAAAATCAATCAATCAATTTCTTTGTAAGTCAGAATGTGTACCCTGCGACAGTTTTATGTGGGCCCAGTCTAAGGAGTATGATGCATAATTTGAATCTATGTGTACAGTGTACAGTTTTGATGCATAATTTGAATCTATGTGTACAGTGTGCACTGTACAGTGTTGATGCATAATTTGAATCTATGTGTACAGTGTACATACATAATTTGAATCTATGTGTACAGTGAACACTGTACAGTGTTGATGCATAATTTGAATCTATGTGTAAAGTGTACAGTGTTGATGCATAATTTGAATCTATGTGTACAGTGTACAGTGTTGATGTATAATTTGAATCTATGTGTACAGTGTACAGTGTTGATGTATAATTTGAATCTATGTGTACAGTGTACAGTGTTGATGTATAATTTGAATCTATGTGTACAGTGTACAGTGTTGATGCATAATTTGAATCTATGTGTACAGTGTACAGTGTTGATGTATAATTTGAACCTATGTGTACAGTGTACAGTGTTGATGTATAATTTGAACCTATGTGTACAGTGTACAGTGTTGATGTATAATTTGAACCTATGTGTACAGTGTACAGTGTTGATGTATAATTTGAACCTATGTGTACAGTGTACAGTGTTGATGTATAATTTGAACCTATGTGTACAGTGTACAGTGTTGATGTATAATTTGAACCTATGTGTACAGTGTACAGTGTACACTCTGTTGAATAGAGTTGTTCAATCGATCCTTTTATATCCTCCATCAATCTATTCCAAGAAAAAGGGTTGGCTTAAACCAAAACTTTTAACCAAAACAGAAAATCAATTAAGTTTTCCGAGTCCCTAAAAATCACAATTGATACAAAATAATTTTTAAACAAAATTCAAATTATAACTTTTCCAATTTTCATTCATCAATATGTTTTTTACATTTCATTTCTTATATTTCCAATGTTCATGCATACAAATTGTACAATTTTTCCATGCGCAGAACATTAAATCTGCTTTGGCCACAATTAACCCTGTTTCTTAAAATGAATGATACTTTTTCCAATCTCTTGCATTCTTTACGAATGTAAGAATATAGTTGATTATGTTTTATATGTTTTTTTTTCATTTATTTCAGAGTTTGGAACTTTTTCCCGACCAGGCAAATGTCAAATCTTTTATTATGTATAATTTTTTTTAGCCATGCTTGGATGGGTTGGCAACGCATCGTAGTCTGTACAAATAAAAGGAAAATACAGAAAGATAATCAGGTCAACTAACAAGCAGTTCATGAACCTATACAAGATATAGAACAGGCCCTGCATGAACCTATCCAAGATGATCACGATCGTGTTTATTTCTAGCCAAACTGCACTGGGGAAATGTCAGTAAAAAAACAGAAAATAGTAGACTTTTTTATTTCTATTTTATTTTTATTTTTTTTAGTTTGTGAAATACAAAACCTTGAGGGACACATAGGAGAAAACATTGACCCGTGAGCTTCATTCCAGTGTTCTTTGGTTCTCACTGTATCGTGATTACAAAAAATGCCAAAAAGTAAGAATTTTTTTCTGTAATATCTCATTGCACTGTAAATAATACAAATGTAGTTTAAGAACAGTTTAATAATAAATATAAATATCATAATTAACATCTGATAAAAGCAATAGTGATCACAAAATATACTGTATAACCGGTGATACAGCAGTATCGTATGGTGAAACAAATATTAAAGGAACCGTTGACGTATTTTCAAGTTATTTAAAAGAAGGTACCCTTTATCTGAGTGATAATAATGGAGATATCGATTTTTTTCCATGTAAATGAATTCTGTTAGTTTTCTTCTTTGTCTCTTCTACATAGATTCCCATATCATCAAAACTGCTTCGAAAACAATCCTTTTTTGGATAAAAAAATGAAATTTATCAGAAAATTCTCTGAATTAAAGATCACTTGAAACTACGTCGATACTCCCTTTAAGGTGTAATTTATACAGTGGTTCAGCGTAGAACATTTACAATTTCAATATTGCAGAAATGAAAAATCAAAAAAAAAAAAATCATGAAGGAACAGGTTTTACTCTGAAAAATGAAGTAATGACATGTAAGATAGTACACATACATCATTGAACAGATTCAAATGAAACAAGAATCCAATTCGGAACACATCCAAAATGGAACATATCCAAAATGGAACAAATCCAAAATGGAACACATCCAGCGTGTCAAACTGTAACCGTTTCAAAATTGTGAAGATCAAAGAATTTAACCTGATTTTTGTAGTGATCAAGAACAGTAAGGGTAGGATATTTATTCTTTTAAAAATTCAGAAGTCAATTTTCTACCAATGATTTAAAGCTGAAATAAGTTTATTTTTTTTAAAGATTAGATTGGAAAACAGCGGTCACCAATTGAATGACGATCTAAAGGGAATTTAAGCGCAATTTCAAGTTTCCCTTCAGACAAAGATGGAAATATGTCCGGTTTACAACGGTACTCTTAACCTTTATCCGCTGTATCAATGCACAAATAACTTTTGAAGAGAAATCGCAATTTAAAATATGAACAGTTTATACAATTATAAGCATTAATATCTAATTAATATCTTGATCCAAAATAGATAGCTTTTAACCATTGTAAATCAGACATCTTTTCATGGTAACGTCACTTTAAATTACGCTTACAGTTTAAAACACTTTTATTGACAAACTTTTTTTACGGAAAGTCCAATTGAAGCACGTATTAAAAGTCAAAAATTATCCTTGATCGTAGCTTTAACTTTCCATGTTTCGTGGAACGAACTGTAAATATTTGCTCAATATTTAATATTTGGACTCTGTAGAAAAACTGTATTTTTATACTGCATATCACTAGTGCGTAGGAACAAAGATAAGTAATTTCTTTCTGTTTAAATTTTAATTTTAGTATATGGAGAAACAATAAAATTCTTGCCATAGGTCGGAACTTTTTAAACGTAGATATCGAGATTAAGCATTGATCTCGATCTTTTGTTAATCTACAGATTAATTTAATCTTTATTCGATGTCCTATAATGAGTGTCGTCCGTGGAAAACGAACAACCAATCAAAAGCCTTGGATTTTTGCGTACATACAATTGAAGAATAAAGAAATTGAAAATCAAGAGATCAAGCAGATTCTAAAGTGCCCAAAGTGAATATCAAGATCATGCAATATATGAAATCGTAACACTAAAGTTTCCAGCTCAGAATTGTGTAAAGTATCGTTCATCTTGAACCCTTATATCCACATTGTGGGCACTTTTCAATTCGAGGAAGCTAATTAATCTTTCAATTTAAGGTATCCCTGCAGGGTATGACCACCACAGGATATCCAAGAAAGATTAAATAAATCAGGTGGTCTGTTTGAGATCTGAATCTCGAGATTTACAATACAAAAGTTCTTAATTTAGACCACTAGACTAGAAAAAAACTATTTATATTGATCTTAAGTTTTATTTAAGTGCTTAAGCAGTATTGTGTACTGTGTACATTTTTTTAATTCTAAAAGAATTTAACGATTTTACTAACATGGAATTGTTAGTAAAAATTTAAAGACATCTTTGCTTTCAAATACACTATTATCTTGTTTTTTTTTACTTTTTGGTGTTTGATCAATTTACAATTATTTTTTTGACCTTGTAAAAAAAATATTTTCTTACAAACTGAGGTTTGCTTAAAAACGGAGGTTTCTTTACAAACTGAGGTTTGTTTACAAACTGAGGTTTGTTTACAAACTGAGGTTTGTTTACAAACTGAGGTTTGTTAAAAAACTGAGGTTTGCTTACAAACTGAGGTTTGTTTACAAACTGAGGTTTGCTTACAAACTGAGGTTTGCTTTCAAACTGAGGTTTGTTAAAAAACTGAGGTTTGCTTACAAACTGAGGTTTCTTTACAAACTGAGGTTTGTTTACAAACTGAGGTTTGTTAAAAAACTGAGGTTTTCTTACAAACTGAGGTTTGTTTACAAACTGAGGTTTGCTTACAAACTGAGGTTTGCTTTCAAACTGAGGTTTGTTTAAAAACTGAGGTTTGTTTACAAAATGATGGTTTGGTATATATCAAAAAAAATCTTAGAGCAGTATTTTTATATTCTATTATATATAAAAAAGGGTATTAATCAAAAGAATAAATTAGAATCCAAAGCTAACACCAAGTGCTTTATAGTGCTAAAATGTATATGTAAAGGTCTAAAGTAAAGCATTTATGTGTTAGAACGGTAAAATCAAAGCCCAAGGCGTTACGACGCTTCAAAGTTGACCCTGACTTAACAATTTATGAGACTTTTTGCAGGCTAAATCTATGTGCCCGGCCCCAAAAGCAAAGCTTACTGGTTTGATTAAACTCTTTAGCGAAGTTAACCGTGTATCCGTGTATCCAGGCTATCAAAGGATTGCAAACTTTAGAAATGTTTTGATTGCTGTTTGAAGAGAACATTAAATATTTATAGGATACTGATAGGTTTAGAACTTTCGGGTTTTATTTGCAATTCTTTATTTTTAAAACCATAAAATATATTGGAAACTTTATGATTTCATTGCTGGTAAAAGTTGGAATACCAAATCCCTGTCATTTTTTAGTTTGTAACGTTTTAAAGTTTTCTAGACAACACATTGCAGTTTTATTTTTATGTCATGGCTGGGCATCGTTGTTTTTAGTTTTTAAAATTCAGGAGTTTTTTGGCGTTTCAGAGAATCCAATTATTCATAGATTTTGCTTTTAACACACTATGCAAAAAATTTCTCTGGTCAAAAACATTTCTGAAAGTTTTTTTTAATCGACTAATTTTTGAAAAGAGGTTTTTATCGATATCTTTGGTCAGAGTAAAATTTTTAATAACTGTAACATACATCTCAATGGGCGATAACATATTTTTATTCAGTTTTTTAGTAAAATTAAATGCTTCTCTAGCCCCTAGAATACCTTGAACAACTTTGCTTTACCTAATTTAATAAAACACAGATAGATGTGAGAGATAATGAGCATGAATTCCAGAATCCATGTTGATGTAGGAACAGTGGCAGAGTCAGTTAACTGAGCATTCCCACCCTTTACCTTCAGGTTCATACTCGAGTCTAAACATAACATAATTTACCTTCAGGTTCATACTCGAGTCTAAACATGACATAATTTTCTCACAATTACGAGATAATTTATTTGGTGTACTGCCTCGTTTTGCCTTGTAAAGTCAGTATGTAATACAGGTCAGTCCGCTACTTCAAATCAACCGGAGTTCACAGTGATAAAATATTAGCCAAGGATGTATACATTTTATCAAGGGGGAGGGGGAGAGTTGGGGGGAATTACTTTATGCTGTGAGGAACATGGAGTTAACTATAAATATAGTAACAGAAAAAAGGCAGACCACTTTTTTTAAATGCCAGGACTACGGGAATTTTATGATTATTGCTTAAAGAATCATTCAATTTAACGTAAGTTAAAGAATATATGCCGTTCATAATTCTAAAGATCAAAGACGACCTTCACGTTGTCCATCTACTGTCCTGTCATGTTTCGTGGGACACCCTGTATTTCAGAGCTTTCTTACCTTCCGCCACATAAACCATAACAGGGGCTGGCTCTGAGTTAGATGGTCTGCACATGTACCGACCCTGGTCACCAGAACCCACCTGTACATAAAGGGATACATGTGTACATGTCAACCTTGTGAAGAGACTATTAACATAATCGTAAATGACCCTTAAATTAAATAATATAAAATAAATAATATTATCTTCAGATTTCAAGTTTCAAGAACTTTTTACATACAAATCAAGGCAATTTTCTTGCTTGTCGCAGCTTTGAAATCTATAAAATAGAACGGTATAGAGTATAGACAGAGTATTAAGTACTGGATAACAAGTTGAAATATGATCATTCGGTTGTTAGTAAATTGGTGCTTTTAGCCATCGATAATATTATTTTGAAAATAATGTCTTATACCGTTTTTATGGTTCTAATTGTTGCAACTATTAATTTCTTCTTCCCCTGATTATATATTATGCTGCTTAATCTCAATGTTTATTACCCTACATTACCATTAATTGTACTCATGAACTGGAATATTAAATTGACTGTAAGTGTAATTAATTGCACTAATGAACTGGAATATTAAAGGGACTGTAAGTGTAATTAATTGCTAATGAACTGGAATATTAAAGGGACTGTAAGTGTAATTAATTGTACTACTGAACTGGAATATTAAAGGGACTGTAAGTGTAATTAATTGAACTAATGAGCTGGAATATTAAAGGAACTGTAAGTGTAATTTTGTCCTCTATGCAAAGAGGGCTGACAATGTGGTCATCAATTAAGAGCGTTTGAGTAGATTTAACATAGATATGTCAGACATCTTTTATCAGTCTAAGGTCACTATAGTTTCAGTAGAAGTGAATATTTCCATTTACTGACAGCGCCGATTGAAGGATTCATATCTCTAATTGAATAATGAGATAGATGGAAAGATAAATGTTACCGCCATGCAATTTTCTATTGGTTCAAAATAGACAATATATACATGACTGAACCCTGGTTGGATCAGGCACTAATGGACTCGGCATACAGGAGTGAGGTTTAAAGGGTACCGTTGTAAATTGGAGATACTCCTCTTTAAATAGAAGGTAACTTGAAATTACGCATATGCAGGCCCTTTAAGGAATGCACCATGACTAAACCTAAGAACTTGAGAATATTTGTACACAGAGTTACTCACAAAGAATTAAACTTCAAAGACGACTTTAAATATTCTAAATGGGGTCTGCTTCATCACATTCTAAACTGTGTCTGCTAAGCCAAATTCTAAAATGAGTCTGCTAAACCATATTCTAAACTAATTTACATCAAATTCTAAACTGGGTCTGCTACACTAAATTCTAAACTTATATACATCATATCCTAAACTGGGTCTGCTAAACCATATTCTAAACTGGGTCTTAATACATGATATTCTAAACTTGGTCTGCTAAAACATATTCTAAACTGGATCTGATACATGATATTCTAAACTGGGCCTTCTAAAACATATTCTAAACTGGGTCTGCTAAACACTTCAACCATAAAAACTATTTAAATTTAGTTTTATGGCGTTTAAGGTTATGTAGCATTTTTGTATATGTGCATGAGACCCCTAAAGTTTTTAAAAGAGCTTTGTCATTTTTTTAATCTGCATATTTTTGCAGAATGCAACGTTGTTTGATTTCAAATACAAAACCAATAACTATTAAACAATAGACATAATTTTTAAATGGAAACTTAAAAATGTTTAATTCCCTTTGAAAGCTTGAATTTTATAGTTTAAAATGATAGCTATAAAAAAATGGACATGAATGCCTCGATATAAACCCTTTAAATATTTTTCTTTTTATTTATTATTATCATTATTATTTATTCAATTTCTAGAAAGAGCGATTTGTTGATTTCTACAGTAATACATTAATTAAGAGCTACAGTTGTGTCATTGATATCTATATATATCGCTCATATGAATATAAAACTTAATGAACTGATAACTCGCCGCATATTTTCTTTTCAACATATTTTTGCAACCTGATAAATCTAACCTTTGATTTACAAACACTTTCACAAATGATCTGTCAAAATTCGTTGTTTGATTTTCAAAATCAGGTTGTAAAATCAGGTTGTAAAACAAGGTTGTAAAATCAGGTTGTAAAATCAGGTTGTAAAATCAGGTTGTAAAATCAGGTTGTAAAATCAGATTGTAAAATCAGGTTGTAAAATTAGGTTGTAGAATCAGGTTGTAAAATCAGGTTGTAAAATCAGGTTGTAAAATCAGGTTGTAAAATCAGGTTGTAAAATCAAGTTGTAAAATCAGGTTGTAGAATCAGGTTGTAAAATCAGGTTGTAAAATTACGTTGTAAAATCAGGTTGTAAAAGAATAGAAGGTTTGAGAGGCGAGTTGCTTTGTGCAGGACTAAGACTAAGCAAAGTTATAAAAGAATATTTAGTAGCAAGGATAGATGAGCTGCGCGTGAAAGTATGAATAGGAAAGATGCCCTGCGCGTGAAAGTATGAATATGTAAGATGAGCTGCGCGTGAAAGTATATATGTGCATTCTGTGTGATAGAAACCTTTAAAGAACTCAATGCTATATATATAGTTTTTTAATGTTAAATGATGATTGATTAATCGTGTAATTAAATTATAATTATTTAAAACAGCAGGGTACAATAAATGTATGAAATATGATGTTATAAACTTGATATATTTGAAACTAAATATGTTGATAAAACCTTTAAAAATTAATAAATGTATAAAGTAACAATGCAAATGTCTACCAATTAAGTTTATATAGGTAGTAAAAATAAAAGGATAGACATTTGAATTTTACTTAAACCTAGTATTCAAAATGTCCCTTGGAAATTTTGATTTTTCGATATAAAGACAAACGAACGAAAAAGGAAAATTTCTGGAATTGGCGCAAAGAAGTAATAATTTCTATGTAGAAATTAAAAAAAGATTTACCTTGTGAATCAAAAGAGTACTTTTAAACCCTGTATACTTGACATTAACGTCCTTGTTCTCCATTTTCTCCTGGTTGTCCATCCACTCGTCGTCCTCCTCCTTCCACTCCTCCACTTCGGAGTTGACCACAGATATTCCACCCCGAGCAGAGGTGTAGTCTATTGTCTAAACAAAGAAATTAATTACTCGCCTTAAACTCTAATTTTCTTATCTCTAAATATACTGTTGCAACCTGATCAACTTTGATTGTTGTATATCAAAGAACAAGGTAAGAAATGAGGGCGGGCGTTTATATGTTTAGGGATTTTTGAGACTAAATCCTTCTTCCCCCTTAAAGAAATAATATACAAGGAACGGAAACACTAAGTCTGTTTACAATCCTCCTGAGACAATACAGTACACTACAGTACACTACAGTACAATACAGTACAATACAGTACACTAAGTCTGTTTACAATCCTCCTGAGACAATACAGTACACAAATACAGTACAATACAGTACAATACAGTACAATACAGTACAATACAGTACAATACAGTACACTAAGTCTGTTTACAATCCTCCTGAGACAATACAGTACACAAATACAGTACAATACAGTACAATACAGTACAATACAGTACAATACAGTACAATACAGTACACTAAGTCTGTTTATAACCCTCCTGAGACAATACAGTACACAAATGCATTATCTACGTTTGAAGCAGTTATTTTTTTGCTTTATAAAAAGAGTTTTTTTTATATAAATACAATTAACTAAATCACATCATAGAACTAAAAGCAATGTCAAGGGCGTAAACAGTAATTTGTCTGAGGGGGAATTTTAAGTACAACGGGGGGCTTAGCCACATAGCCCTCCTCCCTTGTATACGCCTCTGAGACATACCATACTTTTTTTCAAGTGTTTTTCGAAATGTGACAATTTAATAACTATGTAACAGCTGAAAAGATAAAAAGAACATAATTTTAATTCAAGAAAAAATGAATTTCATTTTTAGAGTAGGTGTGGATTAAATCAAATAAAGAGCTTTTTGAAATGGAATTAGGGCTGATTTTGAAGTACAATCTTTGACATAGTCAAATCATTCATTAAAGTTACGATTTGGAAAAAAAATATAATTATTGCCACCAAAAATTCGCAAAGATAGGATAAACAGTTGAAACCTTTCCAGATTCCCACTCAGTAAATAAATTTCACCGGAAATTAAAAATTCCTCAACCTCAACTATTTCTAAAAATTGTTTTGGACTAGGTCTATAAACCAAAGTTTAGAATTCAAATCTAAAGGTTAGGACTACCGTATAAAATAAGGTGTCAGAATTAGGTATTCACCCTTATATTATAAATCAAGCAATGATCAATGAAAATGCATAAAAGACCTTTTTGTAAAAAAAAGTGTTATCATAGATTTGCAATTTGTATATTGTGAAGCATAATTCTAATTAAAAATGGACAATGTTATAAATAGCTATTCTATTTTTAGAAGGACACTGATTAATAAACAGGGTTAAAAATCAAATAGTTTTTAGCAGTAGGTTAAAAATAACTTATTTAATGAAATGGGTCTGTTCATTGGCCTATGAGTCATAAAATGAGTCTAAAACTCTTCCTATTTCATAGTTTTCTGTAGACATTTACAGAATTGTTAAGAATTATAGTTTAAGACTACGTCAGGACTCATTAATTATCAACTATATTAAAACCTTATTTGCGATACTCAGCAACAAATGTATGTTCAAATATTAATGGAAACCGTTAAAAAGAAATAACAAAATTTCCCGCCATTCCAGACAGCTGAGATACGGTCATAAGACCCTTTCGATTTATGACTCAGGAATTGTTAGTTAGTCAAATCCGTTCCGAGCCGCAGTTATATTGTTTGAATGATATGATATGTTCCAAACCCCATAAACAGGTTTTCGAATCAGAAAATATTTTGTTTACGTTCTATCATAAATCAGTCTCAGCTTACGCCAAACTTATGTAAATTGGGTTGAAAAGCTCTTTGAAAAAAACATATTTGGGATAAAAATGGTTTCAATTATTTATTGAACATTTTCTAACAGGACACTTTATTTCTATCACTACCCTTCATTTGTTAAAACTTAGCACTAAAAAAACAAAGAAACTGATTATTGACACAAACAATAATCTTGAAATCCTATAAATAAATTTAGCATTAAGAAAATAAAATTTTCTCGCGAGAAATCAGTTTCTCTATTATTTTTTATCAAAAAATATCCCTTTTACCTGATTTTTGAAGAACCAGAGAAGATAATGTGGTTTAAGCTTTGAATTCTCCACTAGGCATGTCAGGTTAAGTGTACTGCCTTGCTCTACATGTACCTCTCCACCAGATACTATAGTAGTTCGGGGACCTGCATGTACATTATGTACGTTAGATTTAAGTGGTAATAAATGTGTACAATAAATTTGAGTTATTATTTATGTTCATTAGATTTGAGTTTGTATTTATGTCCATTAGATTTGAGTTTGTAGTTATGTACGTTAGATTTGAGTTTTTATACATGAGCATTAGATTCTAGTTTTTATTCTTGTACAGTATATTTGAGTTTTAAATCCTGTACATTACATTTGAGTTTTTATTCTTGAAATTGTCCAAAAGCCAGAAAATATTGATACAAAATTAGTTCAGTTTAAACTGTAAATTAATTACTTAATTCAAAAGAAAACTTGAAACCATAAATCTGTGAAAAAAATGTATGTTGAAAAAATTGTCTAAAACATAGGATTTTATTTATTGCTTGAAGTTCCATTGAAGATCCATTTAAATGAATAAATGATAAGATTGACTTTAAATTATGATTTATATGTCTGATTCTCTTCAATAACTGATCCAGTGGCCGAATTTAAAGAATTTGAGCGGCGGTTTAAATTTAAGCCGCGGTTTAAATATGGTTGGTTCCACTTAAAATTGTATCAAATGTTTCAAGATTTAAGCCGGCGCTTAATTTAAACCAGGTTTTGGCGGATTTAAACCGCGGCTCAAATTCTTTAAATTCCATCTCAGAGTAGAAAACTTTTGAAAAGACGAAATAATTTTTAATTGATTCCTAAGAGCTAAAGTATGTCTATGTTAATACCAAATATGTCTAATACCCTTTCTTGCAAAGACTATTTCAGAGGGCCAAATAAACTGAACTTAGAAATTATAAAGAATGGAATATTTTACGTTCAAAAGTTCTTAGAATGAGAGATTAGTAATCATTCGTCAGCGGTTTTATTTCAATATAGACACTATAGACAGATTAAACAAGATAAACTTACAAATTAAAAAATTTTAGTTTCAAAGCCTCATCTTATTCAAAAGATCCCGATTCTGATCATTTTATTTGATAACTTTGAATAAATGATTTTAGAATAAATTTTTCATTACTTAATATCTCTAAAGTTTACTGTATATTTACTGTAATTAAAAACCATTGACAACATGGCAATGAATGAAATTAAAAAAGAAAATAAGAAAGAAGCGGAATTAAAACAGATTCAGAATAAAATAAAAGGCAGAAAAATTTGGATGAGTAAAAATGAGGAAAGAAAGAGAAACAGAGGACAAACGGACAAAGAACGACGAGAAAATGTGAAATGGACTGAAAAAAATAAGACTGTTTAAAGAAAAAAAAACGATCCATGAAAATACAAAATCAAGACAGACAAGCGTGGGATAATGAAAACAAGAAATACAAGCGGAAATTTAAAAATTGTTGAACTAAGCATCTCCAGGCCTAATGATGCTTGTAGGACAGGATAATAATTAAGAACAATGTATTTAGTTTCCCAGTAAAATCTACAATATAAGCATACATTCAGAAACTGAAGTCTTACAACAAAAACAGATTTCTCAATCCTGATATCATTGCAACCTGATGTCGTAGACTTTAGAAATTTCAAACTATGATTCTAAGTTTGAATTATAAAAGGTTTACACTATCAGGTTACAAAGATTTAGGGAATAGTAAATTTGATTTGTGGCTAGAACTCATACCTTCAAGAAAAAATTGAGAGAAATAGAGAGAATTGACGAAAAAAATAATAAATAGAATAAGAAAAGAATAATAGAAGAAAATCTGAAAAATAAAATAATAATGTTGGGCGAATGTAAAGTATTAAGGCCGGGGAGAATGGGTGAATTTTAGAGAATTAAAATGAATTTTAGAGAATTATAGAGAATTGGAGAGAATTGAAGAGACTTGGAAAGAATTATAAAGAATTAGATAGAATTGAAGAGAATTGGAAAGAATCAGAGAGAATTGGAGGGAATTGGAGAGAATCGGAGAAAACCGGAGAGAATCAGAGAGAATCGGAGAAAACCAGAGAGAATTAGAGAGAAATTAAGATATCGGAGAATTAAAGAGAATAATCAGACTGTGTGGCAAAAACTCAATTACTTTCCAACCAAATGTTTGGACGCAACGGGGAGCATCTTGAATTTTTCCCAAGTATAATCTTGTAAAATAAAGTTATTAAATTACAGTAGTCTGCAGGGAGGATATTAAAGGAAGGCGGATGTCTACTTCGTATAGTAGNTTCTTTCCCGGACACTGTCAACAGTTTCTCCATTGGTAAAATATCTGAACAATAACTTGTTTATTTACAACTCAGGATAAATTTGAAAAACATGATTTTTCATTTTGCAAAGTTAAAAAAAATTAGAGAGAGAAAATTTGCAGAACTTGGTGGTTGTGGTGAAACTATAATTGATACGCGACCACAAAATAAACAGAAAAATTATTCTATTTAATCAAGAATTGGATTCTTTTTATAAAAATTTATTCTAAACTTATCATAACTCAACATAAATTTTAGGAAATAAAACGTCTTCTTAAAAAATGAGGAGTAAGGAGTAAGGGACTGAACAAAATAAAAATAAATAGAAAATAATGTCAAAGTTTTTAGAAGATATTTTTAACAAGAAGTTTACAAAAGCGTACAATAATTAGCTCATTTAGATTTTATTTTATTTTATTTCAGTTAAATAAATAAATTAGGAATTAAGTCAAAAACTCTGATTTTCTAATCCTTATGTATTTGCAACATGAAATGTCGTCTTGAAATTGATTAAAAAATGTATGACAGCTGTAATGCTTCATCATGAGTCTGCACAAAAAGAAAGTTTTTTGATAATTCTTATGAAACTGTTTTTTTTTTTTTATTTTTAATTCAAGCTAAGTTAATGGCAATTGATATATTAAACTCGTTTTTCCGCTGGATTTGATCTTAAATATGTTGAAAATACGACATTATAAAAAACTCTTGCTATGTATTCATATATCTGGGAATCACTGTGGAAGAAAATATTTCAAAATAGATCAATTCGGTCAATTTCCTTCCTTTTCTCAGCTGCATAAATCTTCAATTAACTTTAACAGAGAAAAAAATCTGACAGCAAACTCTTTTGAAATTACTTCTGCAGACTCTTAAACCCTGGAAATTGTTCTGCAAAGTGCAACCCCAATCGGGGACAAAACTTGCTTTTTTTAGAATAAAAATAACTTTAAATATTTGAACTCCCTGGCATTCGTACATACCACTGTCCTCCTCTTTCAAGAACTTGATCTAAATAAACCATAGTTATTAACACAAACCGAGCAGTTGGAGTTATTTATCTTTTATTTGTATGCATTATCTAGAATTAAACATATGAAGGGGGCACTGCAAACTAGACAGAAGAAGATTAAACATGTACGTGCAACATTAAAGGGAGTGTTCGCGAAAAATTAAAGAGNAGTTAATTTTTAAAAACACCATAATTGAAATAATTAGTTTTGAAAGTTATACACATTTGTATGTAGTTAATACTTTCGCTGACAGTGCCTTTAAGAACTTTTTTGTTCTATATTCTTCGGATTTAGTTTGAAAGAATTTCTCCATAAAGAAATCACCATTTTTACTTTCAAATCAACCTTTTTGTTTTAGTTCTTGCGTGAAGCAATAATTGTGGCGAAAAATGTTGCTGAGTTGCGGATCATCTTTGCATCGTTAAAGCATGGTTAGATGAGAAATATAATTTTCCAGATTTAAAACCATTAAAAAACTTATATTTAGCATTGAATAGATTGTTGGATTTAATTAAGTTTATTTGATTTAACCCAATTTGAATAAACTTTTTTCCATTCATGCAGCAATTTAGTCAGGTTGATGTGGCGCTTTATTAAACAAGTTAAATGTGGTTGTTATAGTGGTACAACATAAAGTTTAAAGTCTTATGAATAATAACATTTTCAACTTAGTTCTATGGCGATTTATTTTCGAACGAACGTGCTTTGTTGAAATATCTGAACTTTCCCTTTTTTGAGGATTCTTGTAAATAATCCTTGTCCCCTGAGGCGAACCAATATCTATTTGGGGTATTTATTGCATCATAAATGCTAGATATTAAATATAATTTATGTTTTGAACAAAAGATATAAATTCGAATAAGATATCCAGAGAAATTGTTTAAATTGAATTCTTCTGTTTTTAAAGATTTAATGAAATAAAAATAAAAATGATGGATGTTAAGACCAAAACCAAAATATGTTAACATTATTTAATCAAATTTGAATCAAGAGTTCTTAGTCCTTTATCTTATCAGTGTCCTAATTTAATGAATTTAAACCGCGTCTCAAATCCCCCAAAACCAGCTTAAATTGAGCGCCAGCATAAATTTTGAAAACTTGAATACAATTTTAAAAGGAACCAACCATATTTGAGCCACGGCTTAAATTGAAGTCACGTCTCAAATTCTTTAAATTCGGCCTCAGATTTAAAATGGAGGGTCACTTCAAACCAAGCTTACAGTCCCTTTAATTCCTAAATTCCAATCTTTGGTTTACTAATCTAGATTCAATCATATAATCCAGCTCAGCAAGAACTTAGAACCCAACTCACAGCTGTTTCAAATTATTCCCGATTACCCTTGTAAGCTAACATGGTGTTATGCAATAGGAAAACGAAATTGGAAAAATTAAGTATTTAGAGTTTTAAAGTATTTAAAGTATTTAAAGTATTTAAAGTATTAAAAGTATTTAAAGTATTTAAAGTATTAAAAGTATTTAAAGTATTTAAAGTATTCAAAGTATTTAAAGTATTTAAAGTATTCAAAGTATTTAAAGTATTTAAAGTATTCAAAGTATTCAAAGTATTAAAAGTATTTAAAGTATTAAAAGTATTTAAAGTATTTAAAGGATTTAAAGTATTTAAAGTATTTAAAGTATTTAAAGTATTTAAAGTATTTAAAGTATTTAAAGTATTCACAATGAATTCTATTAGAGTAACAATTTTTGAAGAAAACAGTAAAAATGGAGTATATTAATCAAAGTTGTATACACTACAGTATCCTTCCTTTTTATATATAAAAATACAATTAAAGTTTGTCTTTAAATGGGGGGGCAGATTTTTTGGAATATGAAAAACATCAGTGTTTTACATTCAGAAATTTGTTTAAAGGGACTGTCAGTGTAATTAAAGGGACCCTCCATCCAAAGATGGCAACGCCCGATTTACAACGGTGCTCTTGAAGTCCTTAATCTAAAGTGGAAGATATTGTTGTTTTTTTTTTCTTGAAAAGAGTGTAACTTTGTCAATTTTCTTCCTTGTTACTACTTTCAGAAACCGTAATTGAAAATTATAAACATTGGAGTGTTTAGTTCTAATAATTCCTACATACTTTCCCGCAGTATAGGAATGCGCTTAAGTCACTTTTGTAAAGAACCCACAGTTGAAAATCATGCAGTATCTAGAATTATAAACATTGATATCTAATTCATACTTGATCTCAAAACTTTTATGGGTACCGTTGTGTGATCGGCCATCTTTGAACAGAGGGAATTAGTGTAATGAAGGAAGGGAATATGCTGAGGATATTTATAATTGTTCTGTATTATAACAAATATCTAGAAGGAACTAGAAATTGGGAGTCCTTTCGCCCACTGTTTTCTAATTGACTATAGAATTTTTTTAATTCAGCTTAATTTTGGTAAAATTTTAAATTGAGCTTAATTTTGGTAAAAACATCTTTATCGCCTATTGACGGAATCCACACTATTGTTAAAGCTTTCTTTATTGCTCCTCAGTTTTGAAAATACATGTTAAAGTAAGTCACATGAAGCGCTAGAAAAATTGATCTCATCGCGCCCACTTTAGTGAAAATGAAGTATTAAGTTCACTAATCATTTCAAGCGCTTCATAGCTAATTGAGGAGTGCGCATGTGCAAAGGTTCACCTATAACTCTTATCTTGACTATCATCTTAAAAAATTTGGGATTTTAAGGACCAGTAATATAATTGGTTTTTTTAAATTTATTTTTTTTAGTGAATAGGGTAGACTACAGGGCGGTAAAAAGTCTATCCGTGTTTTAAAAATCTTAAATAAACTTTTTGACATAAGCTACAGATATGAAAATTACATTTTTGAAAAGCCCTTGAAAAATGGACTTAAAAACACGTCACTTATTAATATTTGTCAAAAACAACAAAAAAAAGTTTAGATTTTCCCGATCATTTTTTTCCATTTATTCCAACCTTCCTAAACGAATAAAAATGGTCGTTTTTAAAATCGATCTTTATTGCACATTGAAAAAGTTCGTTGTTTCGTTAACGAAGTAGGTAGATTTTAATTTTTGACGATCGTCAACGACGACCCTTGTTAAAGGTTGTTAACGACCTTTTTAAGACGAAATTGATGTTTCGGTAGGAAAATTCTTAGATTAGACATCGCTTATGGTCAGAAAGCATTCAGGTGATTTCTCTCGATAAATATAAAAAAACATTTAAGAGAATATCATAAACTTATCTTTAAGGAAAAAATAATATGATAAAACTCATATTCATTTCAAAAACGATTATTGTAAAAACTATTGTTTTTAGCTTTTTAAAAGATCAATACTAGTGGTTCGTTTTCAAAAACGATAGTTTTTTGTTAAAACCAAAACGATCGTTTTAGAAAAACGTAAAATGATAGTTTTTCGATCTTTTTTTGATCGTTTTTTTAAACGATTAACAATCCTACCCCCAGGCAAAACATTCACTCAGACCCCCAATTTTTATAGCATTAAATTCATTAAATGTCGTCTTCCTATTTAACAGTTTTATGGGTCTCACTATATTTAATTTGATATTTGGAAGGGAATTCAGGATTCTAAATGCCAAGAATTTTGCACTTTCTTCAAAACATAATTAGCATCGTTAACTCACTTCAATACACTTATAGCCTTTTATAATATTAGTCGAATTCTAGAGGGACAGACTTAAATTATTGAAAAACACTTCCCCCTTTTCATATACTTTCCTCTTCTCAATCTCCTTTTATCAACTTAAAACTATTTACTCTTCTCTTTGGTACATTTTTAATAATCTTCACTTAAATGCATCAAAAGCACTCTGTAACTGTTCTGTACCTCATCCCCCTCTTTTCTTTTAATTTTCTAATTAAGTATATGATAATGATTTATATATGATGTTATACCTTACATCTACCACCTTAATTTGAAATGTCATATTTCTTAATAAATTCTTCTATGTATCTTTTAAACTTCTCCTTTTGATAAATTACAGAAAAGTTTGTTCATCTGTAAACATTTTTCTTATCCTTTACTTTATTTAAAAATTTGAGTCTTTTCCACAACCTCAACTTGTCTAATCTTATCATTGCAACTTGTACGTGTAAACCTTTGGTATTTCAAGCTTAGATATTTGATCTGATAGAGTTCATAGTTTGAAATATCAAAGGTCTATGACATTGGGTGAAAAGGTAGAAAATAAGAGTTTCTGACAAAGACTCAATTAATTTCTATATTTTTAACCTAATTATTATGTTTTAAATTCATCCGTAAATATAATTTTAACCTGTAGATGCACCCTTAACTTTTCTCTTTTCTTTACCATTTCTCTAATTTTAATCCTCTCTTTTTTCTAATGTATTCTACCTCATTGGAGCTCCTTTCTAAAGTATTCTACAAAATTGGAGGTTCTTTCTAAAGTATTTTAACTAATTGGAGCGCCTTTCTAAAGTATACGACCAAATTGGAGCTCCTTTCTAAAGTATCCGACCTTGTTGGAGCTCCTTTCTAAAGTATCTGACCTAATTGGAGCTCCTTTCTAAAGTATTCCGACCTTTTCGGAGCTCCTTCATACATTATCCAACATAATTGGAGCTCCTTTTATTATAAAATATCCTACCTAATTGGATCCCCTTTCAATAGTAGTACTTTGAGCTCCTTGCTATTCCTAATCCTAATGTCTTTGTTTAATCCTTCCATTAAAAAGTTTCACAGAAAGTTCATTTCCAGGATTTTATGGCAGGTTCTTCAACAACTTTATAAATAAAATCAAGATTTTAACAGAATTTATTTATTTAAACGAAAGGTTTGCCAATGTATATCTTGAAAATTATGAGGGTTTTTAATTCACAATATTAACTGCGAATTATGATCGTGCACGAGAAATTTCGAAAAAATATCTCAAATTGTATGCAACTTCTCTTGTATGCAAAATATACAATTTATTTTAAACAACCTAACCTGGTTAGGCGGGTAAAAAACTTGTTTGATTGCTCATACATCATACCTTATTCTTTGTAGTTCTCTAAATGGAAAGTCACTTGAAAATCTCTCACCTGAAGAATCCATTCGTCAGTAGATGGATTGTAGATAGATTGATAGCGTAGATCAGCTGTATAGGTGTATCGACCCACTGTGAGGATATGTAGATCAGAGTGTCGTATCCAGGATATCTAAATATATTTATATATCAGCCCACTGTGAGGATATGTAGATCAGAGTGCTGTATCCAGGATATCTAAATATATTTATATATCGGCCCACTGTATGGATATGTAGATCAGAGTGTCGTATCCAGGATATCTAAATTTATTTATATATCGGCCCACTGTGAGGATATGTAGATCAGAGTGCCGTATCCAGGATATCTAAATATATTCATATATCAGCCCACTGTGATGATAGGTACATTGTGAGGTTTTATCCATGATATCTAAATAAATTTATAAATCGGCCCACTGCAAGATGATATGTATACAAAGGAAATATATGCCACAATACCGTATTCAAAAAATCAAAGCAAAAGGAATAAAAGTGTATTTTGTGTCCTTTTCCTTGCCATCCAATAAACTATACAATATTGTACTGTATTGTATCCAGGCTAACTCTAAAGAATACAATAAAATGTTATAATCTATCAGATAAAATGTCAAATATACAATATTGTACTGTATTGTATCCGGGTTAACTCTAAAGAACACAATAAAATGTTCTAATCTATCAGATAAAATGTCAAATATACAATATTGTACTGTATTGTATCCGGGTTAGCTCTAAAGAATACAATAAAATGTTCTAATCTATCAGATAAAATGTCATCTATAACGTAAGCGTCTTAAACAACCTATATGAAATTATAATATCTATTTCAGATTTGTTTGTAAAGTTTTTTTTTTCAATACATAGTCAGATACTATTGGCTCATCACAATAAAGGTTTTATACAGGGTGTCCCACGAAACATGACAGAGAGATATATTTGAAATAATTTGCAACCTTTATTTGTTTATCTGCTTTAAAAAAATAATAACGAAATTTTTTAATTTTGCCGCAACATATTTCAAGCAACAAAGATGATCTTCAATTCGGCTATTTTGCTGGGACACCCTGTTGGTAAAATTTCCTGGAAAAGTAATATTTCTCTAATCAGAAAATCAGCTGATCCCAGCTTGAATCCTCTTGGTTCCCTCTCTCAAAGCTGATTTATTCCCGGAGATTTGTTAAATCCCAATTTTATACTTTTGTTCGACCATCAGGGGAATTAGATAGATAAACAGAGAGATAGATAGATTTAAACAACCATCATTGTATGGACTGGGCGCCGTTAAAAAAAAAGATAATATTTTTAAAAACCCAAAGGGGTTTTCTGCCAAAGAGCGAATTAAAAAATTATTCATTAATAATGAGAACTGTATTTCAAGATCAAAGGTAAACGAACAGGGAATGAACGGGGTTTTAACTTTAATCACCATCTATGATTAACAACTAATAAAGTGAACTAAATTATTGTTGACATTCTAAATTTTTAAATTGTCATAAAACGAGGGCAGAAAAGTGTTTACAAACGATAAGTCCACTTTTGTTAACGATTGATTTTCGTAACGTCGTTAACAGCCTCAACGTTTGTAAACGGTCGGTAAACCTCCATTATAATCGTTGATTCTTAAAAACTAATTTTTGAAATTGGAGGATTCAGGGAAGGCCAAATATGGAACAAATGATCCGCCTATAAGCTCTCAATATTCATTATAGTTTCGATGTAAATAAAGAATTCTGATGCCAAATGAACAGAATTTGAGCCGAGGTTTAAATTAAAGCCACGGCTCAAATATGGTTGGTTCCATTTCGGGCACTGGTTAGTGTTTACCACTAATTTACATATGGATCTCTAATTGGATTATAAAATTTGAATAGATAGATATATTATAAATAGATCATACCAAGACTATGCCCACCCCTAACCATTTGTTTAATTTATTGAAAAGGTAAAATTACTTGTACGACTATATCGACCTTGTATAGTTTATCTATTCGACCTCGTATAATTTATCAATTCGACCTCATAAAATTTATCAATTTGACCTCTTATAGTTATCTGTGTGTGCAGAAACATCTAAAACACTATAAATATGTAATATATATATATATATATATATATATA